CTCCTCTGGAACTGCTCTGGGAGGTAGGGTTACAGGCTTGCATTGCTACTCCCAGCTTTTGTATGCCTACTGGGGACCTGAACACAGGACCTTGTGCTTCTGTGTCAGGTACTTTACTTAGCAAGCCATCCCCCTGGCCCTCATTCTTAGTTGCTCCACAGTCACCCTGGTTCTGCGTCACTGTTCTAGGATTCTTTCCCCATTGCATCAGAGACTTTCATGTTGGTATATCTTTTTGTCTTCTCCCCCTTTGGCCAGAAACTTTTCTGTATGCACTCCAAAACACAAGCAATATTGCCTGGGATGTCTTTCTGTATGCTGTGGATGTGTTGCTCTGATTGATTGATAAATAAAATGCTGATTGGCCAATAGCCAGGCAGGAAGTATAGTATAGGTGGGATAAGCAAAGAGGAGAATTCTGGGAAGTAGAAGGCTGAGAGAGGAGACACTGCCAGGTGCCACCATGAGAAGCAAGATGTAAAGATGCCAGTAAGGTGGTATAGATTTGTAGAAATGGGTAAATTTAAGGTGTAAGATCTAGCTAGCAAGAAGCCTGAGCCATTAGGCCATACAGTTTTAATTAATATAAGCCTCTGTGTGTTTACTTGGGTCTGAGCGGCTGCGGGCCTGAGTGGGACTGGAGAAAACTCCAACTATACAATTTGAGCTCCCTGTGTCTAATCCCACAAAGACTTAGGCATATCAGAGAAGACTCTGAACACTGACCATGGGGATGAATATTTGGTGTTGGACAACACGGCTCTGAGAGTCCAGTCACTGTCCCCTTCACACTGAACAATGCAACGCCTTTCCTGCCTCAAGCCAATAGGAAATATTTCTGTGGCTTACATGCTTCTTCTGGATCAGGGCCTTCTTCTTTCAGCCCTCCCACTCTCTGTCCAAGATATTAATGCCAGTCCCACAGTTCTTGATGAAGAAAGTAACAATTCAGCAATCATATATTTAGGAATACCCATAGCAGCTTGATCTTTCTCTTCTGTTTCATTATTATCTCAGCTTCACTGTATTTTTGCCTTAATACATAAGTAACTGTATTATCCATGCTTTAAAAAATAAGAAATGAGAAAATATTGGCCTGATGCTATGTCACTACATAGCTGCCTATCTACCATACACCTTTTACAGCCAACCATGATGATACAGCTGCATTCTGATTACATTTGCTGGCTTCCCCCATTCTTTCTGAAAGTCTTTAATCTATGTCATTCAGTCTTTGGGTCTCTAATTCACTGCCTCAGCTCTTGCCAAAGTGACCATTGAATTCTATAGGGTCAAATCTTAATTTTGTTTTGCTGGCCCATATGTAGCCCTGGGGACCGTGGCACTTTCTATTTGAAAAGCTCACTTCCCTGGCTCTGAGTCACCAAGAAACCTCTTTCGTTTGCTTCCTGTGGTGATTTGAATAGGTATTGCCCCATAGACTCATGTTTTAGATGCTTGACCCACAGAGAATGGCACTATTAGGAGGTGTGGCCTCTTTGGAGTAGGTGTGGCTTCACTGGAGTAGGTGTGGCCTTGTTTGAGGAAGTGTGTCACTGTGGGCGTGGGCTTTAAGGTCTTCTATGCTCCAGCTAGGCCTAGTGTGGCAGTCTCTTTCTGTTGTTTGTGGTAGAACTCTCAGTTCCTTTTCCAGCACCATGTCTGTCTGCACACCACCATGTTCTGCCATGATGGTAATGGACTAAACCTCTGAAACTGTAAGCCATCCCCAATTAAATGTTTTCTTTTATAATAGCTGTTGTGATCATGGTGTATCTTTACAGCAATAAAACCCTAACTGAGCCTGGCCTGGCAGCTAGTGGCACACACCTTTAATCTCAACAATTGGGAGGCAGAGGCAATAGGATCTCTGAGTTTGAAGCCAGCCTGGTCTACAGAGCAAGTTCCAGGACAGCCAGGGCTACACAAAGAAACTTGAAAAGCCAGAACAAACAAACAATAAAAACAAACAAATGACAACAACAAACAAACAAACAAACCCCAAGACACTCCCCTTTCTAGTAGCTTCTTTCCCCTTGTCCCTTCCCCTGATCCTTAAAACCCCAGAGTGTCAGCGCTCCCCTAGCAACCTGCTTTTCTACCAGTATTCATTCCCCAAGTAATCTCACCCTCCTTCGTGGTTGTAGATAGCATTCAGATGCCAATGCAACCTGAACTTATGTCTCTACCTAGTCAAAAAAATGCCTTTTAAGGAAATCAAGCTAACATTTGTCAACATCAGCTTCTGATACACCCCAAGCCTGCTCTTTCCCTAGCCTGATAACTCCCCAACTCCTTAGAATAACTTGATTAGTTTTGCAGAAATATCCTACCTTTTTGTTTTGGTGTTGGAACTCTGTATTATATTCTAGAATTTGGAGGCTGAGAAGAATTAATTAATTTTAACGTCCTTGAGTTGTAAGTATTACCATTAGAACTTGTAGGATTGAAGTTCAAGGGGATCCAAGAAGAAATAATTTTTTAAGAGTAATTCACATATACTTAGATAACAAAGCATTTGAGGTAAATAAAGTAAATGTTTTTAAACTGTGATTGGATAAGGTCTAAATGAAAACTCAAAATTTGGATAATAAAAGAGGTTACAATAATATATTTTACAATTTTGAAATGTCAGTAAATGTTCCTAGTGGCTAGAGGTCCTCTTTAGGCATGCCCAGATTGAGAGTCTGACTTGACCCCAAACTCAGGGTAAATTATCCTCTCAGGTATGAGCTCAGTTATTAATTTTTTAAAAGGCAGTCACTATATAAGCTGGGCATATAACTCAGAGGAAGGATACCTACTTAGCATGCATAAGATCTGACATTTGATTCTCAGCATTGAAGAAGGAAAAAAAGAACAGCAATTATTGTAATCTCCCACATAAAACATTGCCAAACATTTGTTGTTGAAGTTTATTACATGTCTGCAAAAAGCTGGAGCTATTTGGCATTGCCAAGTAAAAACACGTTTTTTAATTTGTTCGTTAAGCAGCTGCTTATGAATAATAGTTTATTTGAGGTGATTAATCACTTGAGACCAGCCTGCAGACACAGGGCACTGCATTATAAATCACATCTTATTTTCATTCATAGGGAATAGAGTGATATTCATTTTTTGGACATGATTTATCATTTGCAGGTTGTATCTGCTATCTCTGTGGGCTGGGAAAATGGATAGCTCATCTTATTAAAAAGTCTTCAACTTTTGCTATAATATTTTCTGCATAGCCAGAAGAAAACCATGATCAAGACCATTGGTTCCAGTATTAAGGTGTACTGGATGGAAAGAGTGTTGTAAATGGTTTCTTCACTATCAGATAAGTGAAATGTGGGCGAGCATCTAGGCTTTCCAAACCATTTTGTGTGGGCATCTTTTGAACTGTTATTTGTTTAAGGAGACCTGCTTAGTATTTATAGATACTCTGTCTTCTTTAAGAAGTACAGGAAGCACTACTGGTGTCATGCCTTGGGATGACTTTCTTTCCCTTTGGTTATAATTCCTTCCAGCTCTCTGTGACATGAAATCTCAAAGTAAAAGTAGTGGGTGCTATTTCATAAAATTTCATTTACCAAGTGCTATGTTCCTCTGTCCCTACCCTGCCAATGTAAAATTTAGCCAGTAGGGCCATTGTCATTTCGAGTGATATCAGTAGACAATCTGGTGATGCTGGTAAGGTACTTACTGTAATAATGGCAATATTCACATAAAGCAAGAAGGAAAGTTAACAAGAACCAATACTCTCATATCCCTGTTAGCTCTCTTGACTAGAGGGGCAGGAAACTACGATCTTTATATGGTCTTCTGGACTGTTTCCCTAAAGTCTTTAGACTATCTATCTTTTGCATGACTTTCTTAGAATATAGGTAGAGCATAGGATGTTGCAACCAAATTTACATTGTGACCCTAGCTCTACAATTACTAACTGTGTGTCTGGATACTTAACTCCCATGCATTGCAGATTTCTAGTGTGTACAGTATAGGGAATCATACTCTTCTATAGGCCTGGCCCAAGGGTGGGAATGAGCCCTGGCAGAGTGGGAAATTCTCATAACTGGTAATTATTTCTGATAATGTTCATAAAAGTAAGTTAATAAATTAATCTATCTGAGTCTCAGGCTTCTTATAGTTACATTGTAAGTGTAACTATATGTTGCTAATGTTGTCAATCATTATGTTTCATCTACCAATCTGAGTCTATAGAATTTACCTAACAAATGTAGGGTTTTTTTGCGGGGGGGGGGGTTCAAGACAGGGTTTCTCTGTTTAGTCCTTGCTGTCCTGGCACTCACTTTGTAGACCAGGCTGTCCTCAAACTCAGAGATCCGCCTGCCTTTGCTCTCCAGTACTAGGATTAAAGGCTACATCACTGCCTGGTGCGGTTTTAAAGGACCTTTCAGAGCTGTACTGGTAGCAGGCAAATAGTACAGCTAACAGCACAGACGACTTGTAATCTAATCCTAACTCTGCTATTTTCTACTTTTGTGACCTTGTGACCTTGAAATCGAGAAGTCATGTAACCTTTGTGTATTTCATGTTCTTATCTATAAAATCATGGTGATACAGTCCTGGTCTGTTAGAATTGCTTTGAGAATTAAGCAAACAAACTTTATGAAATGTGCTTCCAAAAGTCCCTAGCACATCACAGTTCTCAGTAATCATTTACTATCCTTATGCCTGAAAGAAGGCTCCAATCTCAACTTTTAATTTGCACATACACACACACATAAAGACAAACATAGACACACACATATGCACATACACAGACATACATATACATACACACACACATGAATACATGATTCATGCTTCCACTTATTCATATATGATCACTTCTACCATAAGAGTCTCAGGATGAACAAGAACGCACGATGTTTTACTAGATATTAAAGTTAGCTGAAAAATTAGTTATTAGTTAACCAAATATTACTTAGTAATTATGTTTTACTATGTGTAAAGTGGATTTTATCTAATAGAGAAAATTATTTCCCCTATTATAGAGCTGAAGAATATTACGTTGAAGATACTCCAATTTATGGTAACTTAGATAATATAATCCCAGGTAAGTTTTATTTTTCCATAACTAGACATCAACAATTTGAGGTATCCCATTTCTAAAACCATCACAGTTAGGCATTCTAGAAGCCATAAGTTATATACAGCATATTGCATAGGATATGTTGGTAAGGACCACACTGTAAATTGTACTGTGATAGTCAGTGCAAGCCAGCAGCTCCTGTTTTTCTGTGTGCTTCATTTCACGCTGGTAGCAACAACAATACATCACCACTAGAATAGCAATAGAAGGTTCTAGTCCCGTGAATTTTGACACACAGAGAATTTTGTGAAATGAAGCCACAGAAGAGAATATGATCCACAGAAACAGTATTTTGTGATCCATAAAGAACAGAATATATTCACAGAAACAGTATCTTGTGATTTGTGTATAGAAGCCTGTGTACAGTTAATGGTCAAAACCATGAACACTTTCTCTGGTTTCCTGTGTTATAGCCTGTTCTCTTTAAGCGGAGAACCTGGGGCTGGATTGATAGCAGCTGGGGAGAAAGCAGAACCAAGTCATCACTAAGTGGTTTGTGCTTTTATTCTTCTACAAGTGCTCTTCACTTGAACCTTCTCTCAAAACAAAACACTCTCAAGCGCTCAGAGCAAACAGCTGTGATCTGATCCCATAGTTGATGAGAGAAGCTGCTACCCTGCTATGGGCCTTCCCTCTGCTCATGAGCAGAGTCTCTGAGTTTATTCTGCTTGCAGATCTCTGTCTCAAATACAAAGGTTTTCTGTGATCTAAAAATACCATAGTATCTATGCATCCAAACCAATACAGAATTATAAAGTTAGAGATATGGGAATTTTATGATTCAAAGTTTTAACTGTCTTTCTTTCCATTATGAATATCCTCTAACTTCTACACTATAACAAGCCAGAAATATTATATTAAAATAATGTTCCTTCTGCTTTATGTTGCAGAATTATGATCTCATCCTTCATATTTAAGTTCCTATAAATTTTGATGGCCCAGAGCCCATCAGATCTGTACTTTCCAAACCAAAATATGCCAGGGGTTTATTTCCAGATGCTGACCTCACATGCTCTGGATTGGATTTAGAAATCTGCTAACAAGGCTGGGCCATGGTGGCACACACCTTTAATCACAGCACTCAGGAGGCAGAGCCAGGAGGACCTCTGTGAGTTCAAGGCTAGCCTTGTCTACAGAGCAAGATTCAGGACAGGCACCAAAACTACACAGAGAAACCTTGTCTCGAAAAATAAAAAAGAAATCTGCTAACAAGCAAATACAAGATTCTGATGCTAGTTTCCCATGGACCATGATTTGAGAAACACCACTCTAGGCTGTTTTCCCATGTTGTTTTTTTTTAGAGAGGGTAGAAAGATTATTAGGTACCTTTTGGTATAATAAATATATCTTCCTCTCTGAGGTCAAATTGATGCATTGTACATTTTGGCTGGGTAACTAGCCACTCTAAGTAGGTATATATAGGGATGTATTTGAGAGAATAAAGATACAAAATAGGATGGTTCACTAGCATGAAGAATGTAGTGAGTACAAGTCTGTTGACTTTTAGACACTGCACAAAAAGTTCTAGATCCTTCGAATGGCATTGAACAATCTTGAGGATTTGAAACAGTCCTGTCTAAGAGAGATGCTTCTGATTAGTGGGACACAAATCAGAATCTAAGCCATTTTGTTCAAAATTAGAGTGAGGCACTTTAAATATTTCTGGATAAAGCATATTATTCATAGAATTAATTACAAAACTGTAATCATCGATGGACTTTGCAAGCAGATGGACTTTATGCTAGGGTGTACCACGTGCAGCCACACCCATGTAGTAGATAACACAGACAACCCTTTAACTCCATTGGATCTCCAGATCATTTTAAACAGTAGTTCAGATGAGACTTCCACATGCTGTTGTGGTACAGAAAATCCCTATGACACAGTCTCCGTCTTGAGCTTCTTATCATCTATCAGTAATATTGTGGACAAAAGACTTTTCTGTCTGATCAGCCAGTAACAGTTTGTGCTTTCATAACTTCTTTGCACGTCCATCTAAAAGACTACTTAAATAATTCTTGAGGCTGTATATTCTTAGCTAAATATTGTTTGGGTCACACATTTTATTTATACCAGCACTTTTCATTTTTTCCACGGAAACCTCCATCACCTCTACTCCCAAGAAGCAATGGATGAGGACTGCTATGAGCAAATGAAAGCTCGACCACAAAGGTCTGCAAGTGATATGCAAGAAGCCCCCACATCTGGACAGGTGACGTTTTCTGTATAAGTTAAGTCTAGTCTAGTTCAAAGCACCTGGACATGTTTCAAGAGCACATAGGGTGTTTTCTGATACACATTTGAAGCAGCCTGTTAAAAATTTTGCAGCATGAATCACATGTCAAGTTCTGAGACTTGAGCTCTACAGGGAAATACAGAAGCAAGAGCAAACTCAAACAACACCAGAAGACTCAAAATTAGGTGTAGTTCAAAGAACAATAGGCCCTGTCTTTGTGTATATATATATATATATATATATATATATATATATATATATATATATATATATAAATGAATTTGCATAATGCCCTGAAAGCATCCAAACGTTCAAGTATTATTCTTTCTTCTCCAAAATCTTTTCTCTTATATCCCCTCACTACTGCCTAGACTAGTCATGGACAATTGTGACAGCAATTGTGACAGCCTTGCTTCATGTGCCCCATTTGCAGTCTCTGCTTAGAGTCCCATGAAGGAGGCAGCATTAAAATTCCTATTTTTTAAAACTTGCAAAGAAAGAAAAGCTTGTCCTGGAGCACCCAGATACTGTGTGAGGAAACAGAATCCAAAGGCAGATTCATCTTACATACAATATTCTTGTTCTAAAATAGGTCACAGTTTGGAAATTTCCCATTGTGGTAGAATTTTTCTCCTTTTCACTACAAGAATTTTGTAAGAAATCAGACTTCTTAACAATTCTATTAAGAAATTGGGGCCGGGCGGTGGTGGCGCACGCCTTTAATCCCAGCATTCGGGAGGCAGAGCCAGGCGGATCTCTGTGAGTTCAAGGCCAGCCTGGGCTACCAAGTGAGTTCCAGGAAAGGCGCAAAGCTACACAGAGAAACCCTGTCTCGAAAAACCAAAAAAAAAAAAAAGAAAAAAGAAATTGGGATGTAGTGATATTTGAGAAAAAAGCCACCACATATGAAATCTGACATTTGGTTAATTATAAAATATGCTTTTAGGGGCTGGAGAGATGGCTCAGTGCAAGAGCGCTTGTTTTAGAACCCACACTGAACAGCCCACAATCACTGCTAACTCAAGCTCCAGGGGATCTGACATCCTCTCTGCCCTCTACAGGCATGTGCATGCACACACATACACAGGTGGGGGGGATATGTACATATATACACACATATACACATAAACACAAATCTTTAAAGTGCACTTTTTTTTAAAGTAGGAAAAGCTATATGGCATGATATCTCCTGTTAAACTCATGATAATAAAATGAAAGCTCTTGAAGGAGATTAAGGTGTAAATACACCATCTAGAAATGTAGATGTAACTATACCAAAAGTTATGAATATAAATTATGAATAAACACATGGGAATTGCATGGAGTCATTTTCTTTGAGCTGCAGCTGGCTTTTCCTCAAGTGGAAATGATGCAAAACCATGTAACACCGTTGAGCCTGCTCTTTTATGAATTGTGTAGTTAAAGACACGATTCAGAAAACTAGTCTCTATTCCATTACATTCTTATACATCCAGTTTCACACATTAGAAGTCCTCTTCTCCTAATTGCTCCATTTCACCTCATCAGCATAGTCATGACCATTTGCTACTCTGATATTCATGCACTGATTGGTCACAAAAGCACAGGGAATCTACAATAACATGTGTAGGTTGAAGGAAGAAAGCGTTTTCTGAGAAACACGGGTCATTTCTTTGTCCTTTGCCTTTGTGTGTGGTTCAGAGACTGTAATTTGAGTATCTTGATCTCATTGAAAAATTAAGTCCTAAGAGTTCATCAGAAAACCTAGGAATTAGATTATTCCCCAATTGCTCCCATAGCCTATAAACTTTAAGGATATACACATGTGATATTCCTTTTATTTGTTTGTTGGCCTTGGGCCGATGTCCCACCTCCTTACTCTGTCAAAAGCATCCTCTCCCTTCTCAGACCAATACTAATTATGCTCCGCATTATTCCTCCTGAGTTTCAGGATCTGACAACTTTAATTAATTTTTCTCTTCTTCCTGGAAATGATCATTATCATTTGCCTAGCATGTGTGAAAATGATCTCAATATTAAAACCCAACCAACAGAACAACAGAAACTTCCTTTGCTCTTTTTTTCCCTCTAATTTTGGGACTAAGTGAAATTAAATAGGTTCTTTCCATCCCCTGTGGCTTCTATTTCTTGCTAGGGACTCACATTTCTTTACCCTTTCCTCTATGAACCCCCAATGCCCTCAACTAAGCCAGCACAGTGGAAGTCTGAAGTAAATATTGAATGTACAGCCATGATCCTTTCTTGGGACTCAGATATTTCTTTTTACCCTGACACTGCCTGATAAAACACAATAGTATTGCCACATATCATTTGGAGTGATTTCCTATAATTGCAGGAACCAAATTCCAACCACGCTGGTATTGAAGAGAGATGTCATGCCTCATATGACAGACAGAGCTAAGAATGTATTTTGCCTTTGAGACGATTGAGTAGCGACACACTCCTCATTCTCCTCATTCTCCTTCTTTCTGTTCTGTTATCAGCAGACCCCTCAAGTGAGGTTGGACAAGCCACTAAAGGCTTATGCATTTTTTTTTTTGATTCAAGGGAAAAGATGCCTTTTCCATTCTTGATAGTAAATATCAATTTTCAAATGCCATCAAATGTGCCCATTCCTGGTGTCATGATATTACATATGCTGGCGGGTAGAGCCAAGGTGCCCCACGGCAGGTGAGAGACAGAGATGCCAGGCAGACAGCGCTTACTGAAGAGTTTTATTTGGTGGGGGGAAGAAAGAGGGGAGATAAGGAGGGAGGAAGAGAGGTGGGGGGTGAGGGGTTCAAGAGGTGAGGGGTGAAGCCGGGCGGTGGTGGCGCACACCTTTAATCCCAGCACTCGGGAGGCAGAGCCAGGCAGATCTCTGTGAGTTCGAGGCCAGCCTGGGCTACCAAGTGAGTTCCAGGAAAGGCGCAAAGCTATGCAGAGAAACCCTGTCTTGAAAAACAAAAAACAAACAAAACAAACAACAACAACAACAAAAAAGAGGTGGGGGGTGAGGGGTTCGAGAGGTATGCATCTCGTGAGAGGAAATCAGAAGGAGAAGAGAGAGAAATGGGTGGAGAATTCTTAAGGAGAAGCTCTAAGAATAGGCTTCTACAGCAAGGCATTGGGTGGCATCAAAGGGCAGGATCAGAATATTAACACCTGGGCCATTCATTCTCTTGGGGCCTGTTGCCAGGGTGATGGGAGGCAATGGGAGCTTGCTATAGCATAGGTCAGTTGCTTGGTCTTGCTGGCCTTGGGTACAGGACTCCAAGTCTCTAGAACAGGATAGGGCAGAATTTACTGAAGAAGACAGGAGAGTTCAACAAAGTCCCCAAAGACCAACAAATCACCATTTCTTTATGGTTCTAAGTGAACTTTAATAACTTTTCACTAGTTGGCCTGGGGAAAGTTGAGGCAGACGACAGTACTAAAAGTGTGCAGCAGTGAATTGACAAGTTTTCTGGGGTACAGAGCAGAGTGGGGAGTACTGAGCATCAAAATAGAAAACCTTAAAGGTCAGGACCTGAAATCCCAACTTTAGTCCACAGGCTGTGATTCTTTCAGAAGGACAGATAGTAAAAGACAAGGGTTGTACCTTACAGCGATAATTTGAAAACAGTACAGTGGGATGAATGGTGGAGGGGAAGATGAACGTGTGGATAGCAGTTAGACAGCTCTTGCACTTTTGTGGAAATGATAAGGAATAGCAAGTCTGATAAAGAAACTAAAGAGCATGTAAATGGAGCCATCTCTTCTGCCTGACATAAAAACACAAGACGTTTCCCTTATACCAATAGGGAAATACTTGCTTAGGTGCGGGGAGTTTTTTCATCCAAATGTTACTTCCTCAGCCTCTAGCCCCCATGATTTTGGCCTGGTCTTAGAGGTAAATCCTGAACATAGATAGCTACACTATCTCCAATGAAAACCCTCCAATTTTAGTTGGAAGCTTGTAATAATCATAATATCATCTGCTTTTAAATAATTACAGCTTCAGTATCAACGTTCTCTATTTACCAGAACGTTCTCTATTTACCAATCATATCTACACTATGAGATCAGTATTACTGCTTCCATTTTAAAAGCAAGAATACTGAGACTCAGTATGATTTTCAAGAAGCCACCCAAGCTCAAGCTGCCCAAGTTGTACATAACACAACTGAGATTTAATGATGCTGGGATTTTCCAACAACGCATTCAAGGTCTGGGCTTCAACCTGTTGTGTGCCCCAGGTTACCTTAGCCTTCTGTCCTCACCCTGACATTGACCCAGCTCTAGGACAGAGGGGAAGGGTAACAAAGTCCATTTTGTCTTAGGTGTCAGTTGTGCGAAGAGATCTGTTTGCTTTATTCTAACGAATCTTTAAAACTGTAAAGCAAGAGGCAGAGGAAGGATTTGTGGGTCAGATTAAATCACCATTTATTGAGAATATGCAAAGCACACCTTATACTTGTTAGATTCCTCTCTATTGTGTGTTTTCCCTCCTAAACAAATGAAGGTACAGTTACTTGGTAGAAGTGACATAAGACAGTAACTGCTTGAGGTGAAGGTAAAGATATAAGCAGGTGAGAAACTGTCTAATGTGTTCACATAAATTTTGAGTATGAGGGAAAAAATCCATGAAGCTTCATCTAAATACTTTTTCAACTCAAAAGTCTTGAATTAACTACTGATTTGTTGTTGTCTTTAACTGTTAACTTTGGCAAAATAAGGTAACTAAAGCCAGAATTTTTTTTTTCATAGGCCATGGAAATTTATAGAAGTCTTGGAATTTAAAGACTAGACCAACAATGAAAAACTAACATACCTTTTCTTTTCAGGGACGTGCCGAAGATCAGATGTGCTATGCCACACTGGATCACAGCTTCAAGGGGAAACGCAGAAGGCCCAGGAAACAGAACACTAATTTGTTAGACAGGGAAAAGGATGCACAAGTGTGTGCAATGGATGCCAACATTTCTCAGATCAATTTGGTAGAAAGTTCCCCACCAGATAACCAGGCAGTAGAGGAAAGTGTTCATGATGATCCTGCAAGACTGTTTGGATTAATCCGTGCCAAGAGAGAGCCTGCAATCTAGCTGGATGATGATCCAGCTCACTGATAAGCATCCTATCAGAGATGGTTAAGAAAACAAGAGGGCTGGCAGGACAGTCTGCTCATTTGTCGATGGGATGGTAGCTTCCTTTTTCTTCAGAGATTGTGTCTCCACACACTAAATCTAGTGCCATTAAATTTAATTACCTGAATTCAGTTAAAAAATATCCAAGTAGGAAAAGTAAAATAATAAAATCCAGTTTGCAAATTAAGTTACTTGATTACAAAGCCAAAATGTATAGCAATACCTAGGAAAATTTTCAAAAAATTTAAAAGTACATATGTGCTCTAGGATATGTCACTTGAAAGATAAAAGCCAATGTCTTAAAATATTAATCAATTGAACATTTCCTCTTTCATCAATGTGAATAAATAATTAGAAATTTCATATTGAAAGTACATTGCCAAGAAAAGTAGAATAATCTTGAGGAGTATTTTTCCAAAATATAAATAGCATAATTAGTTTAAAAATTGTTATAAGAGTTCCATGTTCCTTACAACAATAAAAAAAAAGAACTTAGAAATTCTACTGCCAGAGATAATCAGTATGAATCTTTCTGTGTTTGTGAATATTTTATGGACATAACCATGTATATGTATCAGTTGTTCCCTTTCTCTGTTTTAACTTAAAAGTAGAGGATTATGAGTGTTATTTAAATTTTCTTCATGGATCAAGGTACTCTGGCTTTACTTCTACTATATTTAACTATATCAAATATACTACATTTTGTCTGTGTTACTGCTGGAAGCAAACGCAGGATCTTTCACACAAAAGTCAAGTGCTTCATCGCTGAGCTCCATCCCAAGTTCTGTCTCATAATTGTAAAGTCTGCGTTGTATCTCATTTATGACTCAATCAGAATTCATTCCATTAATATTGAAGATTACTTAAATTAATTCAAGTTTCTATTTATCTGTTCACAAATAATATTCTAATGAGAATGTTCCAAGACATGTCTGGATACTTATCTAGTTTCTTTTTTGTGTTAAGTCCCCTAAAGGAAATGGAATATATTTAAAGATATGTGTTCTTATCATTCATCTCCATAGGGCAGATCTCTAGAAGGTCAGAAATTGGATCAAAAATATGCACACAGTTTAAATTCTAAAGGATTAGCCCACATTGTCTCCCAAACAGTTAACTCAATAATCTTCAGCATGGGGCAGAGGTGCTTAGCTGTGATCCCAGCATGCAGGAAGCTGAGGCAGGAAGAGCCCATTAGTTCCAGGTCATCTGGTCCTGAATAGTGAATTTCTGGTCAGCTTGGGTTAAGAGTGAAACCATGTTTCAAAAAAAAAAAAAAAAAACTATCAAAACCAAAATAGCTTCTATTGTCTTCCACTGAGAAAAGAAGCTTGTTGGTAGTTTATAATTAACATATTTAACTTGTTATAATATGTATTTTAAAAGGCTACTTTGGCAGAGAAGCTTGGGTACAACATACCCTTTTTTTCTTTTCTGGCTATGTGCTGTGGATTTTACATACATCACATTTTTATACTGTTTTTGAATTTTATTAAGTTTAAATGTAGTTATATAATTTGCCATTTCCCCTTTCTTCTTCCAAAACTTCCCCATGTATCCTTTCTCGCTTTCTCAGTGACCTCTTTTTCTTTAATTGTTGTTACATATATGTATGTATATAATTGGAAAGCTCTACCTGTAGAAGACCATTTCTCCTACTCTGAACATTCTCCAGTTGCCCATAATTCTTTGTCTAGAGTTGAGAAACTGCAAGCTTTCGACCCTCTCCATGTTGGCACATCCATTGGCATCAACATTGTTCAGATCTTGTCAAGTCACTCATATTGATGACACTTCATGGGTGTAGGCTTTCTGATATCATACATTTTTATTTAAATTACCATTTAAAAATATTAGAATAATAAAAGGTACCTTCATAATTTTCCATAATGTAATTGGAGTGTAATTTCCTTTAAAGGACTTAACCTAAAGAAGAAATTTTCCATAAAATTGGAATCTCAGTTTGCATGCATGCAGGATTCTGTCTGGTACCCTATACTTTAGCTTAAGGGATTTCTTTAACTATTTTTGCAGTCCAGATCAATGAGTAATAAAACTCCCTTTGTTAGAATTCCTAGCCACTCTCCCACGACCACGCAAGTGCTGGCAAGATGCTTAGTCATCCTCCAGCCTTACCTCCTGCATAATCCATGAGCTGCGTGATCACGTAATCTATGCACATGAATGGCGTAGCTATGTAAGCCTATATGCACATGTGCAGGGGAACATATGTGTGGGTCCCACTCACCCCTCCACCCTTTCTTCCTGCATGACCTTTCCATAGGCCTAAGCACCCCTTCCGTTCCCTTCCCTTAATAAACTCTTATAGTGGGTTTTGTTGTACCTCATGGCTTTTCTCACACAGTAAACAACACCACTTAATAAATAACACCCTTGTCATGCTGTGCATCTGAAAAAGCCATTGTTTAAATTTTTAGAGACATTGTCATGGGGTGAAAAATTCCCAAGGTTGAGCTAACTATGCTTCTCTGAACAATCTGTACTGTTCCATTTTTTGAACAAGTAGATGCCATCCAAAGCCTTCCTGGTACCCTTTGGTTTGAACTGTGTGGCTTGCTGAATCAAAGCTGCTGGATTTGAAACAAGTTGAATATCATTTTCCTCAAAGATTAAGTCATCCTTCTAGATTTGAGAAGCAGAACAAGCAGGCCCTGTCTCCATCTGAACACTGTGGATGTATTTTTCACCCTATCAGTTTTGAATTTCAACCAGAGGCTCATTCTCCTGAATAACAGCATTGATGGGGAAGTGTGTACTCACAGATCTCATCTTGTAGTGGAAGCCTGTTGTAAAGCTCTGAATCATGCTGTGAACATGTCTACAGGTAGTCTGAGCAGTGGCCAGTTCCGCTCTGGTTGCCTACCATTTGTCAACCTGGGGCCTCTTTTTCTTTTCAAGGAGACTTAGCCCTACACTGATGTGATTAGAGACTTACCTGTGTGCCCCCTCAGAGTGGTGTCAACATTTTCTGGAACATTGACAGTTTGTTAAGAATGGTCTTCATGGGCTGGAGAGATGGCTCAGAGGTTAAGAGCATTGACTGCTCTTCCAGAGATCCCGAGTTCAATTTCCAGCAACCACATGGTGGCTCACAACCATTTATAATGAGATCTGGTGCCCTCTTCTGGTGTGCAGACATATATACAAACAGAACACTGTATACATAATAAATAAATAAATCTTAAAAAAAAGAGAGAGAGAATGGTCTTTATTCTCATAGTAGATGTGGCAAAAAAAGAGCTTTCTGATTCTTTAAATGATAGTATTTTTATTGGGTAAAAGATACTGTGAACTGTACTTTATCTAATGATGGCTGTTTTAGCACTAGTTTGAACATTTCTTATAAAGTCAAGTTATTTGAAGTTATTTGGACATATTTTGATCCTTTATTTTTCTATTAATTTTTTGGGGGGGTTTCTATTAGTTTTTTAGTTACCATATAAAGTAATGAGTTTTATTTGAGTGTATGTGTGTGTGTGTGATTGTGCTTTGCTCTAATTTATTCCCTTCCCCTACTACCCTACTCTACATCACCCATCCACTGTGCTTTCATTCTCTTCCTTCCCCCAGGTAGTTCCCTTTTCTGTTTACATATCACATGTATGCCATTACCATCTTTCCCCCTGACTTCCTCAGGAATTCTTCCTTCTCTCTCATGATTCCCTTCATTGACCTTCATGCACACACACACACACACACACACACACACACACACACACACACAGAGAGAGAGAGAGAGAGAGAGAGAGAGAGAGACAGATCAGAGACAGAGACAGAGACAGAGAGAGAGAGAAGAGAGAGAGATGCATACATAATTATAAATCTAGATTCTGCATAATAGAAAAAGCATGCAGCATTTTTCTGAGTCTGGCTTATCTTGCAAGAATATAATGATGCTTGCAAAGGTCATGATTTCATTTTCCTTTCTGAAATAAAACTCCATTTGTATATGTACCACATTTTTGCTGTCCATTCATCTGTGGATGCGCAAGTAGGCTGGTTCCATTTCCTGTCTACTGTGAATGATCCAGCATTAAGCATGGATGCACAAGTATCTCTATGGTATGATGATGTAGCATCCTTTGGGAATATCTTCTAGAGAGAAATAGCTGTCTCATATGCTAGTTCCAATTTTAATTTTTGTATAACAGCTATACTGATTTCCTTAATGGCTACACAAGTTTACAGGCCTATCAGAGTGAGGATCGTCTCTAAGTATTTGATATCTTTTGTTTCCTTGATGATAGCCATTGCAATCAGAGTGAAATGGATTCACAGTTTGTATTCTCATTTTCCTCACAGGTAAGGTGAATATTTATTGGCCATTTGTATTTCTTTTGAGGACTGTCTATTCAGTTCACTACTCCATTTGTTAACTAGATGATTTCACTTTTCTTATTTAACTTGTTTGTAGTTCTTTGTATATCCTGTATATTAATTTCTTCTCTGATATATAGTTGGCAAAGGCCATTTCTTACTCTCTTCACATAGATTATTTCCTTTACCATGCAGAAACTTTTTAGAAATACTTTTATTTATTTAAATTTTTTTTCATTTTACATACCAACCACAGTTCCCCCTCCTATCCTTCCTCCCACTCACCCTCCCTCATCAACCCCCCATCCACACTCCTCCAAAAGGGTAAGGGCTCCCATAGGAAGTAAACAAAGCCTGGTACATTCAGTTGAGGCAGGACCAAGCCCCTCTCCGCTGCATCAAGGCTGAACAAGGCGTCCCACCATAGGGAATGGGCTCCAAAAAGCCAGCTCATGCACCAGGGATAGATCCTGACTCCCACCCATGCAGAGACTTTTAACATCATCCCCTCGTATCACTTAATTCTTATTCCCTGGGCTATTGAATCCATTTCCAGAGTGCTCTTGCCTATGCCTGTATCTGCAGGTGTTTTGTTTATTTTGTAGTTTCAGGTCTAAAATTAAGTTCTTTGATCCACTTTGAGTTTTTTGTCATGTTGTGTGAGAGATAGAGATCTATGTGTGTAAATTCAGTTTTCCCAGTTAAAGAGACTTTCTTTCTTCAATGTTATACCTTTAACCTTTGTCCAAAATGATGTGGCTATAACTGTAAGGCTTTATTTTTGAGTCCTCTATTCTGTCATATTATCTATATGTCTGCTTTTGTGCCAAGACCATACTGTTTTATTACTATGATTCTGTAATATGCTCTGAGATCAGGTGTTGTGATATCTGTATTGCTCTTTCTGCTAAGGCTGTCCTTGCCTATTTGGGTTTTGTACTTCCACATGTATATCAGGGTCGGTTTTTTTTTTTTTTTTATTAATTCTCACCTTTATTCTTAGAATAGCTTGAATATATTTTTTTTAATTTT